ATGCTCGCGCCACCAGCTCTACAATGACCAATCTCCCCAGCAGAGGATGGTGTGAAGCCCCCGGCGGTGCTGGAGGTTCCTGCAGTGGAGACTCCTGCAAACGCCCTGCGGGGCAGCTCGCCATGCCACAACACCCCATGCCACTCCGCTGGCAGCTCCCAGAAAAGCCTGGGGTGAGCTGGACTTGATGTAACTGCTTGGTTGCCTTTGCTCTACTACCGAGGTGGCTGCTTTAACTCCATCCAAGAGGAGAAACAAAGGAAACGGTGTATTTGTGTAGGCTGTATTCTTTCCTAGAAAGGGTTGTAGAAGGCAAGATTTATTATTCTGCGAGATCCCTGATCCAAAATTTAGCTCTGAGCTCTGCATGCCACCAGAAGCGTTTTAGGCTCGGCTATGACCTCATGTCAGTTTTAAACTATTGCGGTCCACTGCTTTCTATCCTTGACTGAAGACTGCTCTATACAAGAAGAAACTCTCTGTAACAGACAAAACCAATTGTTTTGGGTTTTTAATCTTCTTAACTTCATCTCCTTGAAATCTGGCAAACTGCAGGCAGGGCATGCAGAGGAAGCCCTTTGCAGTGAACTTACATCTTAAGACCTGAGCCCAAAAGACTGACAGGAGGATAGTCCTGGGCAGAGTTTTGCTGTTCAGGTCAATCCCATCCAACTCTTTTAATAAGCTAATGTCATGTTAAGCATTACAGCTTTGCTAAAACCATTGCTGCAGGAATGATCAACACCGATGTGGGAATCTGCTCCTGCATGCCTGGCCCTTGTGTTTGTGCAGAAAAACTTGATAATGTGCACAGGCTGGAAAACCATGAGATATAGATAGCCTCCCACATACCTTTCTAAATCTGGCGCTTTTTTAGCCTCTTGAACCGTGGGTGGGACCGATTCGTGATTTGTGAAGCCAGAGTGCAAGCTACCTCCACTTGCTGTGGAGGTAGGTCCCTCTCCAGGGCTCGTTAAGCTTTAGGTGTAATTTGGCAGCTGCAGCACTTGCAGAATAAAAGCTCCAGGGACACTGGAGCTGTCACCCCGCTATCTGCGTAGGAACCTGCAGCCAGGCTTCAGCAGCCTGGACCTGCGCTTCCCATGATGCCAGGGCCACGCTGTTTGAATACGGCCCATGGGCATGTGGCACCTCCGAACCACGCACTGAGGAAAGCCTGGCAGAGCTGTGATGGGGAAACCCGGTTACCTTCCCTGATTTCTGCTTTCAGCTCCCTCAGGCACAAGAGCTGAAACAAGTGGTGATGTGCAAAGCCCACGGTGTGGCCCCCGTGACACCAGCAGCTTTGGATTAGTACCTTGCTGGGTATCACATCACCTATCTCACACCAGTGGCGATCTAACAGCTCGCCAATATTTCACACACATATAAGCCGCTCCCCTACATGCATGACATTAAAAGGTACCATATGTAGATCAGTTCTCAGCTGACAATTCTCCACAGCTCCAAGAAAAGGATGACTTGTTGAACCGGCCATATCCAACGCTACAACACTCCTTCTTGGGTGAACTACAAACTTAGTCAGATTATTCTGACTTTCCATTTTGTTTTTTTTAAAGCAGGAGCTCCAGGAAGCCCCCGCTACATTTTCCCTAACCACATCTAGAAAAGCAGGTCCTTCTTCCCCACCCTGCTGATGCATGGCCAGACACCAAGCGTGTTCCCACCACGAGGACAGCACACTCGGAGGAAAGCTGCATAAATCCAAACCTGTTTGAAATTCAGACTGAACCTTACTGTGGCTCAAAAAAAGCCAATGAGTTTTATTTTTCCTCATACGCATGGCAAAGCAAGCTTGTACAAAGCCTCATCAAAAAGTCTGAACTTTTTTGAGAAAATCACCTTGAGTGCTATGTGCAGTTCTGGGCCCCACAATTTAAGAAGGATGTTCAGGTCCTTGAATGCGTCCAGAGGAGGACAACAAAGCTGATGAAAGGGCTGGAAGGCATGTCCTATGAGGAGCAGCTGAGGACACTGGGTTTGTCTAGTTTGGAGAAAAGGAGGCTGAGGGGCGACCTCAATGCCCTCTACAGCTTCCTGAGGAGGGGAAGTGGAGAGGGAGGTGCTAGTCTCTTCTCCCTGGTACCCAGCGATAGGATGCATGGGAAGGGTTCAAAGCTGCGCCAGGGGAGGTTTAGACTGGACATTAGGAAGCATTTCTTTACCAAGAGAGTGGTCAAACACTGGAACAGGCTTCCTAGAGAGGTGGTCGATGCCCCAAGCCTATCAGTGTTTAAGAGGCGTTTGGACAATGCCTTTAATAACATGCTTTAACTTTTGGTCAGCCCTGAATTGGTCAGGCAGTTGGACTAGATGATCATTGCAGGTGCCTTCCAACTGAAAGAGTCTATTCTATTCTATGACTATGACCTACAATCAAAAATCTGTTTCCATGTGAATTTTCCAGAATCAAAATGACATGTCAATGAGTTACTCCAATAACAGCAGAGTTTCAGCTACTTGATTCTGTCACAGCTTTTTCTTTAGATCAGTGTGACCTCTGCTAACAAAAGTTTTCTCTTCCTATAAGTAGTTAGAGGCTATATTCAAGCTACCTTACATTGCTCTCCTTGAGCATTTAAGCAGATTGAGCTTCTCTCTCCTTGAAAGGAAGGTTTGGCTTAGCAAAAATAATTTTTAAAGCACTTTCCTGAATCCTTAACTACGTGATCCCAACCAGACACTGTGCTCAGTTGGGTGCCCCAACACCCACTCCTCTCCCCTCTCCTGGATGAGCCACTATCTGCAGAAGAGGATGCCTGCTCCAGAGAGCTCCTACCACAGCTAAGCAGATTTGCCCACACAGCAGGGGGTTTCCACAGCCTGACAGTCCTGCCCAACACTGCTGGTTACCACAAGGGCTCTGCTCTGCCCCTTATCTGCCGTTATTTCCCAAAACACATCACCATGCAAGTCTCCTGCAGCCCTGGAGGCAAAAATCTGCTGCAGGAAAAGAAAGAACCTCCATCAGCACTGAACAAAATTAAAGGAGAGCAGAAGAACAGCCATAAATTGTGTTGGCGTTTCTCAGCAGCTCTGGGATTTCCTTCCCTTTCTTCTATGGAGGGGAAAAGTCAGTTCAGCCTCTTCTCTGCCTGGTAGCTCCTTGAGCCGACCCACTCAAACAACCCACACACACGGCATGGGGAGAGCCAGCCCAGCCTGGCAATTAAACTTCAGCAAGATAACACCCCCATCAAAAAAACAACAGAAAAAAAAAAAAAAAAAGAAAAAATAATGCTTTGCTTTTGCAAAAAAAGCTCAAAATTAAATGTGCACAACCCCCCCAACTCCTTTTAGGTAAGAAAACCAGACAACTCGTCAAACAGCACAGGGATTGATCACCACCTTGTACCCCTGTGTACCTTCAGACACGACTGAGAATTTGGCAACCCTCAGGGCTGATCTGTTTGTATGAACACCCAGGGAGCCCTCCCCATCAAGCTGATTTTCTCTAATTTCTTCTCCTGTTCTGTAATGAATAAAAGTGATGGGAAGGTGGCCCTACCTAGAATAAAATTGTTACGCACAGACAAACAAGAAGTACTCCTCCTGAGCTTTCCACTTCCAACAAGAGGGAAGAGTTTTCACACCCGAAGTATGTAATTTAACTCACTGTCACGTTTTCAGAAGTGATGTTCAGCTGAAACTGTGGGAACAGAGGGAGACCTGCCCTGTCCTTGTGTTCAAACACAGAAAAAACAGCATGGGAGGGATACTGTGTATTAAGGCTTTGGTTCAGGACATGTTCCTGAAGAAAGAATGCACCTGAGCATGTGTTTCACTTTAGTACTCCGCTTACATTCCCCCAAAGTCAATGGGACTCAAGTCTGTGCTTTTGACTGAAGTGAGACTTCAGCCCGTGCTTGAATACCTTTCTGTTGGTGTCTGATGCAATCGACTCGCGGGGCATCCAAGATAAAGAGAGCACCGTTTCCAAGAGTGTAAAAGGAAATCAGAGTATTTTTAGGGCATTGCACTCAAATACCTTTTACTGAACAACGCAGCTTTTGTAAAATTAATAGCTGGAATATTTCTTTTGCCCACAAAGGCCACAGGGAAGTCAGCGTTAAAATCTTTGCAGACGTCTTCACACATAGTTAATGTTGCTGCAAAAATTTCTCAACTAAGTTTAGGAAATTTTGTGAATAAACTCAACTCATCTGGTTGCAGAGGAGGCAGCTGAAAAGACGACAGCAGCTACAAAACAACAGGTCTTTTTTCTAACCTGTTTGAACAGATTGTCACAGATTTTTCCCAAAGCTGAGGCTGCAACATGGTCTCTCAGAGCTGCCTCTTCTCCTGTGACGGGTGCCTCCAAGAACACCCTGATCCCACACAGCATAGAAAAAACTGAGCTCCTATTTAGACTCCCAAATTCAGAGAGAAAAGACCTGCAGCCTAAGTCCATTTGTGCATAAGCGATGGGAATACATAAATGAAATAGCAGTGTAGAATCCTAAATAACTCATTTGGTCTGGGCCTTTGGGACCCAAAGCCAGCAGATCTGGGGAGCATCTCCACATTGCCTTTAGTGAGCTCTCATTTTTAAGCAACTTCTACTTTGTTTGATTTGACTCTTCATCTTGTCACCCCAGGCAGTACGCAAGACATCGCCCTTCTCCACTGAAAATGCCAGCTTGCATACAGAAAAGAGGGTGCAGGATCTCTTTGCAAAAGGATTTTTGAGCAAAATCTTTACCAAATGGTTCTTTCAGATAAGGGGGCGGTGCTTTTTGAACCAACACATTCAAAGGTGGGTGTCTCAACACCAGCTCTTAGAAACCCATCGAGCAGTCACTGAAAGCCTCTGAGACAACCAAGTTAACGCATTTCCAAATAACGGGCAATCCCACCGACAGCTGTTACACTTCCAAAGAGCATGAAGTGCCATGTGAGCATATTGTGGTGGACAAGACCGCTCAGGACAGATGTGGCTTCAAATGCTTCTCGCCCGCAGCTCTACCACCTGTGCAGATGGTGCAGGATCCAGCTGCACCAGGAGCAGACTCTGCCCATGGGAGACTTCCAGGGAAAGCTCCAGTGAGGCCAGCATGGAAGGATGGAAGGGCTAAGTCCCCAGCTGAGAGACATGTGATGGGCTGCCCCATTTTGCCCTAAAGGTAGGGGAGCCCACAGGCCATGGCGCACAGGATCACACTTCTGGGAGACCACCATGGAGAGGTAATGGTTAGAGATGGCCACTGATCTGTCCCCGTTGCAGTGACATGACTGTGAAGAACAGCTTGGGGGACCCAAATGCAGAAGCACCAAGACAGTCACCCTGCCCAGGCCCCATCCACCCCACCACATACCTTCTGCAGCTTGTCCGCCTTCTCGTAGTACCCCTCCAGCTCCTGCCGCAGCACGTGGTTCTCCTCAGAGAGCATCTCCACCATCTGCTGCGCCCGCTCCAGATGGCAAAG